TATACTTTTATACTTTTATACTTTCTATACTTTTATACTTTTTATACTTTTATATATTTATACTTTTATACTTTTATACTTATTTATTCCGAGTAGATATAATTTAGCCAATTAAAATTCTTTGAGATTTATATTTTTCTTCTTTATTTCTCTACTTTCCATATTTAGGAATGCGCTAAAGCATTGTATCCATGTGATCTGACACAGGATAATATGGCTGATATTCCGATTTGCTGCTATAGTCAGAGATCAATTTTCTGAGTGTGTAATATATGACATATATGATTCAATATCAAAACAATCTTTTTTACACACACTCATGCGTACCTACAAAATTACTTTGTGATATCTCAAAAGTTTGACTAAGAGCTGTTTTTTTTGTAATACTGCTGGTGGCATGTTCTCAGTAATCAGAAATTATGTAATAATAAGCATAATGTTGAACAAAAAAGTATTTTTTTTACTTGTTTTATTCATTAACTAAATGCATTTCATTATTAATGTTATTCTACTAAATTTATTTCCTCTTTTGTTCACTAACAATCGAGGAATGGGCTTGAAAATGAGGGATAATGAGATTGCTTGATCTTTTTTATATTTTGATTTTGGTGGTATTTTTAACTCTGACGTTGAATAATCCTACAGATGTTTTTGATCTGACTGGATGGGATTATTTTCGTTTTGCAGTGGTGAATCGGGGATGCTTCATTGGCAGAGATATGTGGAAATTTTGTCGCAAGTTTGGTTGAATTGAGTGCGAATGATGTTTCCAGTACTTATTAGGAGGTAGCTCGTGGGAACTCTCAGCAAAATATCATTTATTGTACGAAGAAGGAGGACAGAGTGGATGGAACTTGGAGATTTGGTGAGCCGCCGTCTGTTATTCATGATAAGATTAAAGAGAGTGTGACTTAGCTGATAATTATTTTGAACTTTGAGTACGGTATAATAGGGCGTTTTGGAATGCAATTAATCTTTACTGATCGGAGAGAGTGGAAGACCAACATGATCATCTTGGTTGGAGAACGTGGGACTGGTAAGATCTCAGTATTCTAACGCATTCTGGAAGATCGCAGTCGCAAATGGTTCGACAGCTATGATGATCAGGAAACAGTCATTATGGATGATTTCTATGGTTATATTTCCTGGTCAGTTTTTTTTAATATCACTGATAAATTTTCATGTAAAGTAAATGCCAGTCCCAGTCAGTGGTATGAGGATTTTAATAAGAATGATTAATTAACTATAAGAGTAGATATAGGAGAAATAGGATTTTTTAATGATTTGTCTGTTGTTTGGTTG